ATGAATAGCAAGATACCTAAATCTCCCTCCTAAAAACCTTAAATACTGTCTCTTATGATAAAAACAGGATTTGCATGCACATTTAATGATATCAAACCTACTTTCTGGGAAATTGTTGTAAATCCAAACCATCACACAGAAAGTTTAATAACAAAGTCACTTGAAGTGTAAAAAAAAAGTTCTTGGCTTTATTTTGCTATATTTATGTTCTTGAGATAATCTATATTAAATTAGTTCTCTCATTGCCTTTCCACTAGACATATATGGTAGTCCAAATTCTAAACCACTGCTATCACTATCAGCTTAAATACCACTATTTGTTTTTTTCTGGAACTGAGAGATTCAATGAAAACGGGCTCTTAAGAGCAATCTGCCTGTGCTTATCAGTAATGATTTGTCAAGAAGTGTGAAGTAAACACTTTAATCTTTTTGCCTTTTTAARTTTTGTTGTTGTTTTGTTGTTTTACATTTCTCTAGAGGGAAGAAACCACCTTTGTTAGAAAAAAACCATACAGTTGAAAGGTTCAGGAAGCTAACTTTCAGGGAGAAAGCTAACTTTCTAACTTTTAGAAGGAGAGGAGATTGGAGTTAAATGGGGTGAAAATGTTAAACCCCTTCCTAAAGGTACTGGGGAAATATTTCTAGACAAAAGCAGGTACAAGAAAAATCCAGTCTCGGATGTATAATAGGTTTCCTTTCAACACATATTTACAGGGGTTATAAAACCAGTAAGTTACTGGAAAACTCAAAAGGTTCCCTCATAGAAACAACTCTGTTTGAAAGAAAGACAAAATTTGCCTCAAGCCTGAATTTCTTAGGCCTTTATTGTCAGCACTGACAGATCTTTTTAAAGCGGGTAGATGGAAAATAAGTTCAGGTGGTTGTTTTTGTCATTGTTCAATATGTAATTACACATATTTGGAGAACTTCCACCGTATTATTTGCAATTGTTCATGATTCTCTCCAAAATGAAGCTTTTATTAGCTGCATRCCTGGTACAGATATCTGCCTAACACAATGCTTCTTGCAGCTGTAGCAGCACTTGTAGCAATATCAAGAGTTTAGAAGGAAGGAGGGCACTTGGGTCCCGTTCATTTACTGTGCTCAATTTCTGCAACACCGTGCAGTGAGGAACAAGACAGACTCATATTCTGAAGGACAAAACCTTGTTCTTTTCCTGGGACACACCTGTATTTTAAAGACAGGTGTTGCCAGTAATTACTGGTGAACGGTGCTGCTGAAGATGAGAAGGAAAAAAATGTGCTAAACAGACGGAAAACCAGGACTTCAAGGTGAAGATGAAAGTTCTGAACAAAATCAAAGCCTAGCACTTTCAAAGGAACCTTTGGAATRAAAAGTCCAAACCTTTTCCAATTTTAAAAGTGATTCCTTGATCTCCTTTGAAAGTCTTCCACCAAATTAATACTTCTCAGAGTCAAAGAACACCTGTTATTACAAAACCATAATAAGAATTACTGACTTTCAAAGCAGTAATTTCTGGATTGGCAGTCATAGGAGGGATTTTTAGGACTGCCTAACTTGTGATCATCTTGTTTTTTTTTAGATATGTACCTTAGAATGAGAGTATATAGTGTGGCTATCTTTTTTTTTTCTCCCTGGCATAAGAAATGGACCTAGAGAGTCAAAATCAAATGGTTGTCCCTGTCTGTAGGGGTGTTTGTGTGTGTGTGTGTGTGTGTGTGTGTGTGTGTGTATGTGTATATATATAAATTTCCTTGATAGAAAAATTCTGCTTCTTGTGTCTGGGGTTTAAAAGGCATTTGGTTCTATTACATCAAAGGTTAACTATTCAATTCTAAAGCATATTCCTAAATTATACAGGAACACATGTACTCTTAACCCCAGATGAAGCCTGTACCCCTAAATGACAAGGGAATTCTTAAAAATTCCTTCTRTTAGTAATAGTTACATCATAAAACCATTACCTGAAGACTACTGTTTGATGCAATACTTTGAAAAAAAAATCTTGCAATTATTTTGGTTTATGTGATTTACTTTGAGCTTATACTTGTGTTCCTCTGGATGTATCTAACACACAAGATTTCTCAAAATCATACCTAAGRATTTTTTTTAAGTGGGAAAATTACTGATACAGTTATAAAGTTTAGACRTGAAGGTTTTAAAAGAAAAATTACATAAATATGAAGGAGAAAATGGTATCATGWCTTCTCTGTGCTGGAGTATTTGAAAATAAAGGCAAATAGCGTAAGACTATTGTACAGGAAACAATATCACCACATAATCAAAAAAATGTTAGGTACAAAATATTTGGAAAATGGCTTACASTATTATCCATTGGCAAACAATGTTTGCATTATATGGCTTTGGATAATTCATAGAGTGAAAAAACCCAGAGGAGCCAGTCAACATGAATTTTCCATCACAAACTGCAGCTGTAAAGACATAATGAAGAACATTTATCAGAATGACATTTGAAAAACAGAATTAGAGCCAAGATGAGGGCAACCTTGTGTATTGGTTTACGTGGATTACCTTGGAAATGCCTTGTAAGCAACAACAKGAAGACAAATCAAAATATCAATGTATTCCCATTTCTAATTCTTATCACCATTTAATCTCAAAGAACTAGATGAGAAGAAAAGCAGTACAGAAAATTCACTTTTAAATTAGACACAATCCAACTAATCCAAACTAGTCTAAACAAATCCAAATAATCCAAATCCAACAACTGGATTTAGSTAATCCAATTCTTTCTTTATTTTTATTCTATACTTTTATAAGGAAACTGGATCTTGTCTTACCAGTTCTTATCCATATCTTGTCTTATACCAGTTCTTTATCTTATCAGAAAACTGAGTTTACAGTACCAGAGACAATTTGATATCAGGTGAATAAAAGCAAAAAGGGGTATGGTTGACTATTGTTATCTCTACTTTTCTGAGCTTCCTAGCTCCTTGCCTTATATATTACTGATTACTTGAAGAGATAAGTGGATATCCCAAGTTTCCTGCTGGCTATCAAATTCATTCAGCTGAGGTAAATGTCATCCATCATMATCTATTTTTTTCAAAAGGCTTTTATTAATTTTGTTTCCTTGGTGTTGCTCTTCCATTCTAGAAAATTTCTTTACTTTAAAAATCAGTTACTTAGGAAAACAAAAAAAGTATTTTTAAGCCTCAGCAATATTGGAAATGATAATTCATGCCATGTTATTTTATTTCAGCAGACACCAAAGAACTGCTGAGRCTTTTGCTGTGTCTCTTGAACATTATGTTAGGAATTTATCTGTGATAAATGATGTGTTTTCTTCAGTTGTTCAAAAAAGTATCATAGTGCTTTCACATAAGGACAAAATCAGTACCACACATGATTATCTGCAGAGGTAAGAACAAGTTCATCAATTTGAGGAAGATGATTAGAAATTAGATAGAGCTTTTCATTAATTTCTGAAATGAAATCATACCTATAATGATTGTCCAAATTAAGAATAATCAATCATATTGAAAATTAAATGGGAATTTTATTGAGCATTGGCTTCCTTTGGGAAATCATATATAAAATAATAATTTGGGCCTCCTTCTGTGTTCATTTTATAAGTGTAAAATTCTTTATGTCTACCACTGTAACAAACACAACATAAAAACTAAGTTTGTTTCAGTCAGCCAAACATTGTTAATAAAAACTGTGCAGAACGAACTTTGCCTACATGCCTAATACATGAGCTGAAATAGAGACATATTCCCTTTTGCAATACTTGAGAGGAAAACAGAACACAGAAGATTTTAATGCACAGAGAGAGGAAAGGTCCATGAATGATAGTTATTATTCTATATTAGCATTAGATCTGGTATAGAAGTCTAATGGTATTGGTATAGAAGTACTTTTCCTCTCCACTTTAATTCATTCATTTCCTGCCCTTATGAGGTGCCAGGCCCAGGTCCCTCAGCCTTTCCTCTTAGAGAGATTCTCCTGWCCCCTATTATTACTATTGTTCTTCTAATTGTTTTCTTTGCTTTGTTTCTTATCTCTTAAGAGACAGTGAATAAGCTAAAACAGGACAGAAAGATTCTGGAAAAKGTCCTTAGGCAGCTCATCCACCRCCTTGCAATAGTGAGYGAATGGTGTCTCAGGAATGAGCAGRAAGAGAGCAGGACCGGTCCTATTTCCCTAAAGAACTTCCCAGTGCTTCCCTACAGAACTTCCCAGTGCTTCCTCCTCGCAGGGGGAAGGCAGCTGTGGTCAAATACAGGCAAGGGCAAGGAAGTAATTTCATTTTTGTCTCTTCTTGGAGCCCTAAGAAAAGCCGCAGTTGTTCTCCTAAGGAGAGAGGAAGTATCCTTTGTACTTCCACTCCTTCCCCAACATGCATCTTGCTGTCCATTTCTATTCATGAATGCTCCATACATGAGACATTAGGAGGGTTTCATCTTGTCAGGCTTGGATTTCAGGGAGAAGCTCCCCAAACTGGTCAAATCAAGCCCTCACATCTCACCTGACAGGACCCTTCTCTGCCAAGGGCAGTTCATCAATTTCTGATTAATGTCTCTCCAAGCTGTAGTGATGCTGTGAGGGGGGCAGTCACGAAATGCCAGTCTAGACATAAAATAACTGCAAAAAGCCTGCAGAAAARCACCCTGGAATGAGCCTGCAGCCTCCCTCTCCTTACCCCTATGTGCTACACTGCTGCTTTGCAGCAATGCCAGTCATTATTAGTAGCTGCTGTTCAGACTTCACGTTTCTCTAGAGACCCTTTCACTGAAATTGCWAACCGTGCTTTTGTGAAGCCTTTTGTTACTACACTGCATTGCAGAGCCAGAAAGAAACCCTTCAAGGTGATTTTAATCAATAAAATAAAAAAGAAAAGAGGTGTTTGGATGCCTGAATCTCTGTTGAGAATCTGAGATTTTAMTGAACCCTGTCTAATCTAAGACATGACTAAAATTCACTTTTTACTCCTATGTTTTTAAAACATTAACATATTGGAAAATCAGAAATAATAGAGGGAATAACAATCAAGATGTAAAACAAATCAAGTTTTTTTAAAAGACAGCAACTCTTTTGTGTGCAAGAGCACTTGCAACATGAATTATGAATTGGYCATAAATCTCACTGAGGAACTTCTGAAAATCTATACAGTTTTATCTTCCATATGACCATATTAAGTTTCTCTAGGAATGGGACAAAAGTGAATAATTCAAGAGGTGGAAAAATTGCCAGGTATCCCAAATGCATCCAGCCTCTTACCACTTATTCTGCTGGTTTTGCAAAATCTGCTAAGAAACTTAAATACATAAAATTAAAGAAGCTCTAAAAATGTAATATAAGAAACATGGATCAACAATTTGTCCTCGAGCCAGAATCGTACTTCTGTAAGGTTATGAGCCAAAACTGCTGCACTCATGGTAACTGAGCAAATTGCTTGGAAATACCAGGCATCAGTAAAGAAGAACAGGAGCAAATMATCCAAGCTCTCTGAAGTGGATGGTGGCTATGGCTGGTTTCCCTATGATACTCTGTCTATTTTTTTTCTTTGTCTGCACATCCAGAAATTTTCAGCTCAGGTGTGCTCTGATATTCTTTAGTGACTGTTAATGTGCTGATGGGGGAATAATATCCTCAGTTACACAGGGCCAGAGCATTCACAACYTATATTTGCAGAGACCCAGGGAGATGTGCAAATCAGGTCCAAAAACCATGTGYACAAGAGTCTATGCCTGAGATGAAAAACTACTCAAGCACAATTCATAACTTGAATCATTGTGTAGCCTCCAAGGCACAGCTGAGTTATGTCCACACAGCTTTGACTTCCAGTATTTGAGGTACATATATATTCCTATATAACAAGTATGACAGCAACATCTTCAATAAAATGCGGATAGAACTTGTAAAATCAGACCTGGTCAGGATATGGACTGGTAGGAGAGAGTCCAGAGGAGGTCACCAAGTTGAGTAGAGGGATGGGACACTTCTGCTATGAGGAAAGGCTGAGAGAACTGGGATTGTTCAGCTTGGAGAAAAGAAGGCTTTAGGGTGACCTAACTGGGACCTTTCCTACAGGAAAGACAGAGAGAGACAATTTACAAGGGCCTGGACTAACGGGACAAGGGGGAATGGCTTCAAACTGACAGAGGGCTGATTTGGATCTGATAATATGAAAAAATTCTGRAACAAGTTGCCCAGAGAAGCTGTGGCTGCCACACCCCTGGAAGTGTTCAAGGCCAGGTTGGATGGGGCTCTGAGCACCCTGGGATAGTGGAAGGTGACCCCACCCATAGCAGAGGGGTTGGAATGAGATGATCTTTAAGGTGCCTTCCAACCAGGCCATTCTGTGATTCTATGATAGTAAGTAAAAAACATTCATTTTATGAGATGTGTAATACTACTTTATGAATATAAGTATTGACAATTTTCAAACTTAACAATACCTAAAATTTAAACCAAAACCAAAACCAAAACAACAACAACAACAACAACAAACAAATATGCCAAATAAAATCCATGTGTCAAAAAAAAGTATGATGGTAGGAATTGATGACCAAATAACATCTTGGGGTTATGTTTTCTAATGCATTCCATGGAACTAAGGTCCAGCTGAGCCTTAGGACCTTTTGATTTCCTCTTCTGTAGAAGGACCAGCTCAGAGCCAATAATTATTACTATGATCTGGCTAGATATACCTATTATGATAACTAGATCTTTTGATGTGTTCCACTGGATGTACTACAGAAGTATTTTGATGGACATTTTTCCCAAAATGTTCAGCTAAGTCTCCCATATGAGCTGACTGCACTCAGAAAACAATGCAAGTAATGGGCAGGTCTCTTATTTTTTTTCTGAAGAAAATTACATTTATGACAGAAGAGGCCAGCCTGCCACAAACTTCAGGATGAAGCTTTCAGATTCTTTAAAAATACAATTGATCATTTAGTTGCTTATTTGTTTTTAGAGCCTAACATATTACGGGTTTCTGAGAGCTTGAAGCAGACTGCCCCACTGTTTTCCTCTTCTCACAGCAGAATGTAAAGAAGGTTTACAGGTTTCTAGTACCAAATTCTATATTTCAAAAAAACAAACTAGCAAACAAAACACTCAGGGAGTWAATTGCTCCCACTTTTCCTAAAACATTTGCAATGTTCCCTTTGCAAGACATCTTGACAGAGTTTTAACTGAGAGCTGAGGCTGTGGAGAGCAAGGCAGGCAGCATTAACCCAGTGCCTTTCCAGTGAAATACTGAAAAGCAGTTTGGTAACTCCTTGGTGCAATTTTACAGCACGCACTGCTGCACAGAGACCCAACTGCTCTGCACAAAAGGTTYCTTGGGGAAACTAGGAAGTCAGATGGGCTCATAGAGTACAATCACTTTTGTTAGAAAAGACCTCCAAGATGATTTATTTCAACCTTTGACTGGTCACCGCCTTGTCAACCAGACCATGTCCAGTYGTTTCTTGAACACCTCCAGGGMTGGTGACTCCACCACCTCYCTGGGCAGCCTTTTACAGTGTTGGACAAGCCTTTCTRTGGAGAAATTCTTCCTGATGTCCAACCTGAATCTGCCCTGGCACAGCTTGAGGCCATTTCCTCTTGTCCTGTCCCTTGCTCCCTGGGAGAAGAGCCTGACCCCTACCTGGCTGCATCCTCCTGTCAGGGAGTTGTAGAGAGCAAGAAGGTTCCCCCTGAGCCTCCTTTTCTCCAGGCTGAGCCTCCCCAGCTCCCTCAGCTGCTCCTCATGATTTGTTCTCCAACTCTGCTCCCTTCTCTGGACCCTCCCAAGCCCTCAATGCCCTTCTTGCAGGGAGGGGCCCAGAAATGGACACAGTACTCAAGATAAAGGAAAACAAACTGGCTCACACCATAGGATAAAAACTCTTCATGTTAAAAAACAGATTTCAGGTCTGCAAGAATCCCAGAAGGCTGAGTTTGAATGGGACTGGGGAGGTCATCTGGTCTGAACATTGTTTGATGTCACAGATGCAAATCCTCATATTAAATGTCTATATTATTTTAAAATTYACATAATATTGATGGTATTAATATTTCTATAGTAAGAAACAAATCCTATAACTGTATGTTAAAATAGACAAATTCTAGTATTTCATTATTTATTAAGCATATTCTTCATTAGTGTGATTTTAAAGAAAATTGTTTCCACTTGCAAGGTGAAGATTACAAAAATCRCTCTTCTTATTATTTTTAGTAGAATTGATTTGGACTTCCCTGTGCAGTTTATTGCCCATAAAGTATTTACAAACAACTGACAATTTTAAGCATGTGTAAAAAGACTGATTTACAGGGGTTTCCATTCTTACCACATCTTTTTTCAGATTCATCTGAACCATCTGGGCAGTTCAAGACTCCATCACAAAAGAAATCTTCRCTAATGCAGGTGACACCATCAGCACAGAGTTCAGCAGGTGGCAAACACTCAGCTGGAATAATAAAGATGGGAGCAATAACAGCACAGCAATAATGCAGTCTCACTGCAAAGGAAAATTGACTTACCTCTGGTTGCTTTACCACAAATCAAATCAACCACTCTATTGTGTTTTACAAAACTGCATTTTGAGAAGCCTGGGATGACATATCACATACTAGAAAGATAAATTTGGCACAGAATGGAGAAAGTTCTCAGAAGCGAAATATTTTTTAAGACTAAGCTTGAAGTAGGGCTGGAAAAAAATATCAAAGAATTCCCTTTTTCTTCCTTTATACAAATAAACTGCTTTATGCAATATAATAAATGACATTTTCCAATTTCTTTCGTTCGATGTGAGAAAAATAGACTTTAGTTTCAACTACAGTGAAAAATCTCTGGRCTTAGGCAAATACAAGAATTTAATYTAATTAAATTAGATTAATTACATTRGTAATTACATTAATTTAWTTTTTTTCAACTTCAACACATTACAGTGTTACACTTCATCGTTCTAAGGAATCTGATTTTCTATCCAGCATATCTTAAAAAAAAAAGCCTTAAGACTGTTCAAGATTCTGAAACACCAGAATTATTACAAACCATATTATTTTCAGATAAATCAAATTTATAAGAGCAAATTACTGCCAGAAGATACACAGGCAGATCCTTAAAATTGTGGATCTTATCAACAGTCTTTTCCTAAAGCATAAATGCTGATCTACTGCAAATATGACCTTTTTTAGTCTTTAGAGGGTGTTGATCTTAGACATCTGTAGAATTCAATAGGTCTTATTAAAGTGAACAGAAACATGCAGCTAAAATAAGCTTTGGATAACTACTAATTTCAAAATTCTTAAAATTACRTTAAAGTCTGTAGAATTGTTCACACAGTTCCTTGTCTCTACTTCAATAAATGCTTACAGGCAAAGGTCAAAATTTCTGATGTAAGAAGGAAAAATAGTAATCTGTAAAATTTCGTCTTTTTCATTTTTTTTTTTATTCATGAAGCTGTTTATTTTGTAATCAGATTAAGTATGGTTTTTGGGTTTTTTTTTTGTGTTACACACTAACATCGATTTAGCATTTCAAAGTGCTTTACAAAACACTCTCAGTGTTGGCAATGCAAATGTTACAAAGCCAAAAAAATTGCCATTTTGCATCTAACTGGTATTTAAAATAAACCAAACATACTCCAGTCAAGTGCTGGAGGTAACACAGTGCCAGTGAATGAATTTCCATAGATGAGCAGAGACAAAACTGTGTGTTTTAGAACCACAGCAAAAATTCCAGCCAATAACCCAAGAATAGGCTTTGCACAAGCCCAACAGGCAAGAAAACATTGTTTACATACAACACGATCAATTCTGGGCTTATTCCACTCAGAAAACTAAACAGCACTGCCACCTCCTGGATTGAAAGAAATCAACTTTTCCTACTAAAACATTCTGACTTTTCTTTTAAAGAGCAAATTACACTAAATTGTGCTGTAAGGGCTATATTCAACTAAATAAGGGCAGTAGACACATAAAACTGAACAGATTAGAATGCATGTAGATGTCATATATTTTTCAACATGTAAAAGGGCTAGAGGATGTTTTCAAAGTTTCAAACATCTTTGGCTTTCTGTCCATTGGAAGTTATGGTTTGCTAACAGTTTGCTTTTATTTATTTATTTATTTTTTTTATTTTCTTAATAAAAGTAAAAAAAAAAATAGGAAAAAGAGAGCAGCCAGTATTGGTGTCAATGTGTATATCAACATATGTAACACATAGAGACTTCTTGAGGCATGTACAATCTTAGAAATGCCTTCTCTTTGGAGAGGTCTCCTTAGTCTGCAGTAAACCTGCATATCCTGCATTTGCAGGGATGGAATATGAGGATTGAATGCTGTGAGAAGAGGCTGTACAAGAGCAGTGAAATTCTGCAATCTCAGACTGCTCCATGTAACCTCTCTGCTCTCCACACACACAGTTACTCACCCACAGTTGCCGAGGACTTGCCTGTGGTCAGTTCTCCTGAACCTGGACAAACACAACCAGAGGTTAGAACTCAACTTCTTGCTCTCTGGGAGCACCCCTGCTGCTGCTTCAGCAGAATTATCAGCAGTTAATCTGCTTTTAAATCTGCATTACTTGTCCCCCACACTCCAAGTAATGATAGTGCAGTGCCAGCTTGAGTGGCTTGGTCCTGAAGCTCAAGTGTCACAATAAACATTAGAAAAATTTATGTGAAACCCAATTGTTTCAAAAACATCCTAAGATATCTGCTCTCCTTCCACCTTCCCCCCATTAAAATCAGAGCAATACTTTCTGTCTTCCTCTGATATGTAAAAGTTCTGACCTGAAGTTGGGGTCAAGGAACTCATAATTAAACTTGTGGGATCTGTTGAAACATGACAAGCTATGACAACTTTAACATTAGTACTAAAAGGTATGTATATACATTTTCTCACAAATAATGTTGCTCAACAAGTCAATTGTGATCCTCAAATCTATCCAGCATTTGTCTCTACATAGAAGTTTATATGTACTCACACCTGTGTGTGTACATATTTACACATGAGCAAATGCCTGGGTAAACAAGCAGGTTTGTATTAGTGAGAGTAAACTGCAAAACAGTCTGGGAAAATGGAATGTGCATTTGTGATTGCTCCAACAGAGGTTCCACCTCATTAAGGATGCACTTGGTGTTTCCAGCTCCCAAAGAGTTTTTTTCTTTTCCTCTTTGAATTTGCATTAGCATGCCTGTTTATGATTTTTATTTTCTAAATTAGGACTCAAGTATGTGAGTAGGATGATGATGTCTTCAGCTAAAAACAGTCCCAACATCACTATAAGCAATGCATCCTGTATTTACTGTTTATAGAGATCCTCAGTTTATAAGAAGAAGGGCCAGAAGGAATAAAGCAAGAGATGTAGTAAAGGGTTTCTCTACAGTTCGCCATCCCTCAGTTTTGTGGGCAGAAGTTGCTGGCCATTGGCCATCACCAATGGTCATCATATTTTTGTTAGATGTTCCTGCTTTTCCAGACCTGGTGCGCAAACTTGCAGGAGGATTTCCTACCAATTTTCCATGAAAACATGCTTATTTAGCAAACACTATTAAGCTAAACTAAGCCATTCTCGTTAAGGTGAATTCTGTGTCAACAGATTTAAGGACACACTTTCTTCAGCATGGAGAGAGAGGAGAGCGGGGAGGGTGCAGCTGGATGAGCTGTTCTCACACAGCTTCTGCAGAGAAAGAAGCTTAATTCACATCTTCACAAGTTTCCAAAGAGTTACACACATATATATGTCTGCCAACATATCTGTCTATACATTTACTACAGGAGAACTAATTTAGAAGGAATTAAACATTCCAAGACCTAAACCATAGACACATACATGAGCAAACAGCTCCCTGTTATCAGGGAGCTACATCTTGAAACTGTTGAAAAAATTGTGGTTGTTAACAGATGTTCCCAAAAGTGCATGCACAGGTTAGCAGCAAAATCCCTAAAGGAAAACCCAGGACAGTGACAGAGGCAGCAATGATATGAGCACAATTACTACAAAATGTCAAAGTAATATGTTGAGATGGCAAAGGATGGTTTTAGGGTCAGCAGAGCCATAACCCTGCATTCAGCAGATGAAAAAGTACCATGTATGGTAAAACTCAGGTATATTGTGACATTTGGACTGAAACAGAAAGAACGAGGCAACAGACAAAATAAATAAACATAGAAAAATGACCTCAAGCAGACCCGAGACCAAGGGAGAAGAAATTCACTTCAGGAGTATTGTTGCCATTCAGTGTGGGGTGCTGACAGTTCCCAACTCCCTTCTCCTTTCCTCTGGAACCTCTCCCCATTTCCCAATTTTTTTTTTTTGAGGATGATTAACAACATTGAACTTGGGACTCGGAGGAGCACTGAGAGCATCCCAGAGGAAGGGATAGATAGGAGAAAAAATTGAATGTTAGCAGTTTAAACTGTGCCTTTGGGAATAAACTACAGTACTGKCACACTTTGCACTGTTCACATTAACAGGCCTGTAACCAGACTAATTATAACTCCTTCATTACTGTAATTAGAATATCAATAAATATTTGTCTCCTATATTCATAGGGGCAGATGTTTAACTCCTGCTGTGGTGCCCTGCCTGGAGAGTTTGTTTGGGATAATTTGTAAGCAGTTTGTGTGTGACTACTTACAAAGCACCTGTTGTGCTGTCTCTGGCTGGCTTTTGGCAGGTTTGTGAGACCGAGGAGTTTTGTCTGCTTCTTATCTCCATAAAACTTCCAGGATAATGAAAGGAAAATCTGTCAGTCACCATTGCCCAGTAAATCAGTAACCACAGCATGAGAGTAGGACTCCCCAGCCTCATCCACCTCCCTAAACCTTCAAAATCTTCAGCTTGCTGCTCAGCTGCTTAGAGGAGACTCAGCTTTTGGTTTGATGCACTAAGAAAGCTCTTAGAGCTTTTTGTACAGACTTCAGGTCACTCACTGCTCTCTCAAAGAGTCAGAAATGGTGAAGGCAGCTAATTATCATGGACCCTGGCAGTCAAGCCCCAGCTACAGCCAGGGAAGCCTGACTAAGCTATGTGAGCAGAATAGCAAGTGTCATTTTGCTTCCTGTTGTATTGGTAACAAAAATTAGTGCCTGTTTTGTGAAGGATACTGACCTGATGAGGTTAAAGGCATCATTGTAGTTAGATTTTCAGCAGCTACTGGAAGAAAACAAGTTCGTTATAAATTTCTCTTATAGCAGTGTTTAGTTTTAGATGATTTAGAAATAAAGATGAAAAATAAATCAACTGTGAATATTTCTCATTGAATAATTATCCATGTCCTGCTTCCCTCCTTTTGCCTATCTCRCCCTGGTCCCAACCTTTTCTCAAACTCCATGATCTTCCCAAAGAGGAAAGATCCCAAAAGTAAATCGAGGTTATGAGGTTTTATAACCATTGCAATTCCTTTCAATCCTCAATCCCTATTCATTGTATTGCATTTAGAATGTCTTCAACCGGGAAATCTCTCTCTTGAGGCTTTTTATTCTATAGAGATTTTCAGAGCACCTGTTCTTACAGAACAGCATTTAGAAGAGATGAATGAGTTACAATTAATCTGGGATAGTTTACAAGAAAGAAAGTTACTTTTAATCACTGTGAAAAMTGATTTCAAGCAAGTCACAGCTGCGTGACACCTCTCTCCATCTCGGAAATAAGAATGTCTCTGGCAGAACATATTGAGATACACAATGCAAAAATGCCACATATGATTATGATTGTTAATTAATTAAAATTATTTTATTGAAGTGCTCCTGGTGGAATGGACAGGTGATATCTCATGTGAAAAGAGGTATTTTAATGATCCACAACAGTAAAAGTTTGACTACTTCAAAGTTCATCAATAGAACCTTTTAAGAGGCTCTTCATTATTTTTTCTTGGTGGTGTTTTTGAAGTATAATGAGCAATCAATTTCCACAGTGGTGTGCAGTTAYTTGGAATAAACAAGTAGTAAAGAGAATTAAATATGCCAAGACTGAATTTAGCCTTTGAATACTTGAAGTGCCTAACAAAAATACACTTTTAATACAGAGCAAGAGACACAGCACAGCAGATTCCCACGCCTCAGTTGCTACTCAATAGTAACTCCAGCGGGTCTTCAAATGTGAGCCAATCAATTTCTACTTCAAAGAATTCACATTGTTTTTGAATCTCATTCCCAGTGATGAGCCCTTATGAAGTTTTATTCATATAAAAATAAGGATTCCCACTGATCTTGATSGGTTTCCATTTAGGCTTTGATACATTTTCTAGTACTTACATAAAATAACTATATCTGTATATCTGCMGAATTTAAAGCTGCCTAGTCCTTAAAATCCTATTCCTCTTTTTCTCCCACTTACATTTACCTAAGCTCTCCAGGAATATGGAGACAGAAGCGCCCTGGGTGCACTTSTCCAAAAGCAGTTTGTTTTTCTTCCTGACGTCTTTTAAATAAATGAGTTTTTACTTTCTGGGAGTCTGAGCCCTTTGCTTATTCTTTAGCATAACAAAATTATAACAGTATTTACTTATGAAACAATACAGTTGAGGATTAATTACTTTATTTAGAGGGCTAAAAATATTGCAAATATTATGCTTCATAAAAGAGGTGAAACCGAGTGGTTTTCACCAGGAAATCACAACTTTGCCCTTTACTCCCTCTTTAGTGAATGTACACAATACTGGCTCATACCCTCTGGTAGGAAAGGCTGTAAATTGTTCTCTCAGCTGCTACTGAAAGTTTTGTAATGGGGGAGGAGGGCATCCAACAGAAAAAGTAAGAAACTGATTGCTGCTCGGGAGACAAAGTGTGCATTGCTGGTACCTGGAGTTTTTAAGGATTTATAGAATTAAAAACAAAAACAAAACCAAAATTAAAAACAAACAAACAAACAAAAAATTCTTACTAATATTACCTGTGATTTGTATGCTGTTCACATCAATTTTCAAAGTCTCAGTAGGTTTAGGGTTATTTGTAGTGGCACCCAAAACCAGCTCATTTTTTACTTTCTCAACTGTTACCATCTGGGTAAAGTAAAGGGTGAGGATCACAACAACACTAGCAAAACAAAACAAAGAAGTTAATTAGTTATTCAAGCTGATGAAATAAATCTGCTACAGGACTTATCATATAGACAATATTTCATTTTTCTAACACTGGTTGCATTTGAAAAGGCAGATTGTTTTTAAGTATTGGCTGGCAAAGATGACACAAAAGGAAACAGCTCTCAATTATCAAGTTGGTTTGAATCTTGGAGAAACTTTGTTTTTTTCTTTATCTACTTTTACTTTCCCTTTTGGACAAAACTAAACAACACTCACATCAATTTCTGCAATGGAGCTGAACTTGAGACAAACTAAAGAGGGAGGTGGACTGCTGTTCAACTATACTGCTGGTCTATTAGTTTTAGCCCTAAAATATTGAAGATGAACCTTGAAATTATGAAAATTGTGTAATACATTCATGTGGAAAAATACAACACAAAGTGATTACTTCTATAAAGTAAATGTGGATTCTACATTTGTGCTGATCTGCTGTGTGGTTGCGTGGATTGYCACAAGGAAACAGTGATGGCTGAAAACAGCGGTATTCAGAAATTGCAGTTTAACTGCATTTAACTTCTATGAAGTCTGAATTTTATCCAGTTTGTCCTCTGCCATCCCTTCTAGACACAATGATCAAGATTTTTATTTGTAGCTAGAGTAAGGCAATGTTGAAGTACCAGACWTGCCACAGGTGAAGGTTTTCTCCTTTTACTTAAATTTTGGTGTAAACTTTTTTATCCTTAAACTTTTATCCTACCCATTTGCAACTGACTTAGTAGCTCTCTTTGTAAGGAGTGATTAATCCTGTCGTTTTGCTGAGCATAGTTTGTARTTTGCAATATGTAGAAAAACTCTCCTTCTTGCATTTTTCTGATAACCCCTAGGCCATGCTGAGCAAACAAAAGCTTTTATTGCTGTCCTTATGACTCAGCAGCAGCGTTTCAAGGGTGAAATASCAGTGCCTGAAGGGGTAAACACTTCTTAAATGAAAAGAAAACAGGGTCTGAGACAAAGTTATTCAAAGCAGAAATGAAGACAGATCCTTACTGATCTTTAAAAGCCTGATCCAAAACTCACAAATATCAGAGCTTCTGTGATTGTTGTGTCAGGATACAGGGATGGAATTAGTTTTGTCCCTCACAGTTATTTATAGTGCATATATCTAGATTCTCCTTGTGGCTGATAGAAATAAAAGGTGTTCTTAGCATAATTGGTCTGTCCTAAAAAAAGGCATCAAAACTGACCAGATGAGCAAACTAAAAAACCTGGCACTTACAAAGACAGTATTGAGCAAGTTTCTCAGAAATGTCTCCATTTTGRTGCCCAAATGTTGATGAGAATAGACCCTTTCTTTGTGCAGAAAACAAATTCCCTGACTGGATCTGCTCTCGCAAGGACCAAACCTTGGAGGTGGCCTACTCCTGCTGCTGTGCAGTCCATTTCTTTAATGTTATATAATCCTTCATAAAGTGATAAAAATCCACTTTCTAGATGATTAGGCTATGGCGTCCCTATTCCAATCAAAAGATTGCTCTAATTCAAATCTGCTTTCTATTACTTGCTGATATTCATGATCACCTAATATCCCAGTATCTTGTTCTTTTTTTTTCAAGGGCAACAATTCAAAGAAACTAATCTCCTCTGCATATTTATCAACTTTATRTATTTACATAGATATCACAAGAACATGTGGTAGCACAGAACTATTGATCTGTTGTCATGTAATGTGTACTTTAATTTTCTTGGCTCACCCMTGAGACAGCTAATTATATCACTCATTTCTCAAGGTTCTTCAATTCTGCTAGAGTCTTAATTTTCTGTCCTCTGTTTTGTTCTTGCCTATCACAGTGTGTTGTCAGACTTTTCTTGATTTAAAACTTGAGTTACCAGTAATAACATGAGATCTGATGCCAGTTTAAGCAGTTTAACCCAAGCAAACTCAGCTCAAACTGATATCCTTTACTTTCTAGCTACTTTCTTACCTACTTCACTGCTCTAAATTGACAGTCCCAGTGACTATCACTTTGTTTTTTCTTCTAATCCTAAAAGAAGATTGCAGAGCAAAGATATATCTTTAAACTTCATATTCTTTAGAGGGACTGATTCAACCAGTAAAAATATATTTTTTTAATTTATTTTTTAAATTAAATATAATAACTATCCACAGAAGAACTGTCTAAATTAGTAGCATCATTGTCTCTTGCCCATATTTTAAGTAAACTTTGTCATACGGAATTACCCGGTCTCTGACTTCAATCTGTCATGATCATCTTCAGATTTCCTGTAGAAAAAAAAAAAACAAAWAAAAAAAAAAAAAAAAAAAAAAAAAAGGAAAACCCACAACCAACTCACCCATGACTCCCACTGAGATTATAATGTTTTGGACAGGATGGAAGCATGTTCTGAAGCTGTTTAATAATGGGAGATAGTATTACAAGTGTTTTTGTGAATCAGGACCTTGTTAAGAATAGTGCAGATGGAATTAACACTACAGACTTGGCTGTGTAACCTGGAAATTTTTGGCTGCTGGCCTTCAGTAGGACAACCAACAGCCCAGGATACTGAAAATGGGGTCAAACAAGCTTTACTAAATGAAGCAGATCCTTGGGAAAAAAAAAAAAATCCAAAAAACCCTCACTGTTCTTTAAAACATAGAATTTTTGTGGGTGGGTCTTAGGGCTCAACCTTCTCAACCTTACTGGTTTGGTCAAGGCATGGACACACATCAGCCTGAGAAGGAAGTTTGCCCAAGGAAATACATTAGTGTCAACCTTATCACAGTATCACACTTGGAAGATGTTAAATGTGAAAGGGATAATATAGGATGATCCCAAGGATGTCTTCAAAGTCAAGGTGGTGGTAAGTACATCTGAGAGAAATATCTAAGTGAGGACTTCTGATATTTATTGTCAAAGTTAAATTAAGCTGTACCTACTTGAACTGGGAAATTTCACATCTCTCAAATTTGTATTTCAGATCACTTTCTTGGAAGATGTTTTGTATCTATACRAAAAAGAGAAATCTTGAACCAATACAGTAATTAAAAATATACCCAGTCCCAGGCTACAAGCATGGGTTGAATAGTAAAAAAATTTTTCTAGGTTACATAAGCAAAGTTTTACTTTGATGATTCACCGATTTCCACAAATAAAGAATGTATTGAGTTCTGATCAGGTTTAAGACCTGAAACATTTCATTTTTGGAAAGAAGAAAAAGCCATCAACAGCAAGCAGGTAATGTTAGGTACCTACAAATACTCTTGAATTAACCAGAGACTGAAAGGTTCTTACCAATTTTTCAACATCAAAGGCAAGGACTTTGAAATCAACTGACGAACTGTTTTGCAGAGCAGGAGTGAATGACGTGCCAGAGACTATTTTAAATGTTCCCATGTAGCCATGAGTATTCACATCTGTCTCAGCTAGACAATTAAAGGGGGTTTAATTACATGGAAATAAAAGAAAAATGTTGAATTAGATTTTATTCCACACAGATCCTCAATACAAAAGCTTTTAGATTTTTGTTGTGCTTTGCAGAAATGTTCTGCCTAGTGATGAGTTTTAAAAAAAGAAACCTTTTTCAATGTTAACAATAGTTGCAACTGTAATCATATTTCTATGACTTCTATTTGCACTTGATTCTCATTACTTTCAGTTTTGTTTTAGATGCTGGTCTCCAACAACACTGTGAGTGTTGGATATGATAATACAATAATATCCCCAGAAATGGGGATACAATGATATCCCCAACAATGTCTAACACGAGGTACAGAGATACATGGGAAGGCAAATAGTGAATCATGAGGTTTTTGTGTATTCTGGATTAAAAATATTATGAATTATCGCCTCATACTTTCTGTATTTGTGTTATCTAAGCTTTTATTTTATGCGTAAGCTGGTTTTGATGASAGCACTGCCAGAATTCACCATCAGAATATTTAAATAATTTTTGACTCAACCTTTCTTACCAATACATACAGGAAATTCTGGGAGAATTTATAAAGAAACTGGATACTTGGTCTTTGCTGCAAATTTAATCTTGATTTTAATACGCGACAGCACATGAGGTATACATAAAGCAATTAATGACACATTTAAAATATATTTCTTCAGTGTGTAACACACGGAATTCTCAGAAAATACCCCTATTAAAGTTAATTGTTAGGAAATGCCTTTTGCTTACCAATTGCAGTACTAGTGGCATTTCAGGTTGTGTTTGAAGGCATTAACATCAAATGCAAGTTTTAAGACAAAGGGAGATGTCAGAGACTGAAGTATTATGGTTCATGGCTTAAACATCATTATGAAGGAGTTTTGCCCATTTTGGCAAAACTATATAAAGAAGCTGTGGCCATAGAAGGCCACTCCTCCCGGAAGATGTCTCCTAAGAGGAACTTTGGACTGTGAACTAAACCACCCAAGGAAACTTGAGATAAGATAAAGGTGATAACACTGTTCATTTATCTCATGTCTAGGAGAAGGCTAAGGGAGAAGAATAGATCCATTAGAAAGGCAAATCCAGCAGATGTCCTGAAAATCATCCTTGGCTGGGTTTGGGGTGGGGGAGGCCATAGCCCACAGACTCATCTGCTGAGGGCAGATTTGCACAGACTCTCCCCAAAATGAGGGGAGAAGAGGAGATTTTGGGTGCGTGGAATAATCTCTGGTTAGAGGCACTGAGCACCCCTATTCCCTTACACAAACTGGCCCAACTGTGGAACCCCCAACCCCACAGGCTACACCTTTGGGACACTCATGTGAGAGGCAGCTGAGGAGGTGTGAGAATCCAGCAAAGACCCCCCAAAGTGCTCCCCAGACTCATTGYTGARKCCTTGCASCAGACTGCATGGGATGCACAGTGAYRCAACAGATCCGAGTCTTGCAAGRMCCRTGACAAACTTGCCCGCCCTCCAGGGGAGGCACCTGGGCATTCCCACCTGSCCTRAGCCTATATTAATCCATTGGCTTCCAGGCTTTATGGGAAACCTTCACCACAAAGAAGAAGAGGAGGATCAGCAGGTAGGCACTGGAATCCACGGAGTGGTGTTATTCTCTGCGTAATCTGACCTTACTTTCCCCCCACACCCAACACCCTCTCTCTTATTTCTTCCTTTTTCTCTCTCTCTCTCATTTACTGTTAAATAAAATCCATACTCTTGACTTTGGAATATGGTCTTATTTGCACCTTAATTTGGGCAGAGGCATTTGTAATAATTTTAATAATCGAATCATAACAGTAGATAAACAATAATTATTACAATGAACAGCTTAGGATGGAAGGTAGAGCATAGTGACATCAATTTAATTTCAACTAATAGTAGCAGAATTCTTTGGGCTTCTGGGAAAGCCATTTGTCCTTAAAACAGCTGTAAATCTGTTAAAAATAATTCTAAATAATGAAGTCCTTTTATAGTTATATAAAATATTATATTMAAATATTATACAATTATGTTTGTACCTGGATAAATTCTTTTCTGTTTATATTCTAAAAAGAAAGTCATTAAGTTAAAGAATGTCTCTAGATTCAATAATATTCCCCTTTTTTTTTTTTTTACTGTGATAGCCTTCTGGTAAGAAAGTAAGAAAGTCAGTAGGTAAAGCAGTTTTTAAAACYTGAATAATTAAATTAAAATAAATAAATAAATAAAAGCAATGGCAGCTGAAAGAATGAACATGATATTCTGAAAAAAATAGTTTTGTTTGTTTTATATCAGTCTTACCAAAAGTTTAGTTTTCACAAAGTTCAGCGTTAAATAGTAGATATTTTTTGTTAATAAAAGTAAAAAWAATCATCAAAGTGGCAGAATAATTTTTCAGCTACAAAGATCACTGTGAGACTCTCTCCAGTAGCTCCATATCTCTCATGTATTCAGGAGCCCTGAACTGGACACAATCCTCCAGGTGTGACCTTCCCAGTTAACTTACATCCACAAGAAGTCTTAACCAAAATTTSAATTCTATTTGAAAGTCATGGTATATTGGTGTTTTCATTTAATTTGCTTTGAGCATCAGTAACTTATTTCATCACCTTCCAAGCATTGGATAAAGACTAAGAATGACTTTATCTGAGATTTATGTGGGGCTGGCAGCTGTCTGTCTGATGCACGATCTCTCTCACATCAATGAATGACTTCAAAATATTTTTTTAAGATAAAAAAAAAAAAAATATTTCAGGAGACAGGAAACACCTGAAGCTCTCCACAAAACCCAGTGGATTAAAATTTTAGTGGATTATTCATCTTCTCAGTCGAACTTCATACACGGAGAAAAACAAAAAATTTCAAGTTTTTTGTATTAACTTCTCCTGATGATGAATATTGTGGAATAACCAAAGCTTTATAGCTTGGATTGCACCTCAGGGACCTCTCTCAAAGCCTAAACCTTGAAAATTATTTTATGTGGCTTCAGAGCATGATTCCAGTGCTTTTTTCCCCCATTTTGTTCACATCGATTTTCATGGGAGGAAAACACATAAAACAAATCCCTAAAACACCACTTCCCCTGCCCCCAGCATCAAAAGCATAGCATGAAATAAAAAATACAATTACAATTGGAACAGCACTGGCTTSGAAGTCTGAAGAATTCCTAAAGGTCTGTAGCTAAAGGTTGGCTGCTTACCTCGTTTCAGCTCCTGGATTGATAACCAAGAAAGTACAATCAGTCCAGCACAAACACACACAGAAATTGCAAGCAGAGAWGCAAACAAAATCTCATAGCTACTGAAAGGAACATATTTCTTATCAGATGATTTTTTCAGCTCCATTTCTGTCTCAAAATCTTGTGTGAATTAAGGACTGAAAAAAGAAACAGCCTGAAAAAGGAGGGTGATAATCCACACGAACAGATATTTATAGGAGATGCTTGTAAAATAATTACACCATAAAACTTCACTGACATAGGCTTTTACAACATTCCTGAGAAATCATATCCATGCACAGGATATGCAAATTGGAAGTAAATAAATCCTCTCAGAAGGAGGGCACAAAAGATATCTCAGATAAAGAACAAGCAAAATCACAGAAATTTAAGGTTAGTCACTGGATTTACACTGTTTGTAGTAATTTGATATTTTAAAGCAACAATATAAAATAATCCTGTCAAATTTATTGCTTATACAGTTTTCTTTTGCTAATTCCTCACAAATACAATTATGAGGACAACAATGAAAGCATAACTTTCCTCATTCTACTTAAAATGTTCCTTTAAAAAGTAATTTTATTTGTAAAGGAAATGCTGGGAACTGAATTGTTTAGTAATGTGCCATAGTTCAGCGATGTGTTCAGCACTGAACAGTAATTCAGCAGCACAAATTTAATCTGTGTAAGGCATGGTTCTTTGACCACAGAACTGGAGAACTRATCAGAGAAGACGTTATGTAATACGTGCTTGTTTTGTATTTTCTTGCCAGGCATAAATATGCCATGGAATRCAAGTCCTTGATAAAGTTAAAGCAYTGTGGATGGCCAGAGCTGCAGCTTTAGTGGAGAAAGATTAAATTAAACAGGCAGTGTAACCATTTTGTTATAAATTTAATCTGTCAAAAGTTTTGAGCTTTAGAAAAGTAAAGTCATACTGATTCTATGCTTTGTGCCCTGTGAGTTACTCAGCTCTCACAGTCCTAAATCCAGATTTGTGGGATGACATTCTTCCTTGTGGAGAGTCTGAGCACACCAAACTTATTCTTGCCTGTCAAAGGAAAGAGAAACTTCAGAGTCAATCTTTGGAAGAGAAGCTCTAYCTATCTGTACATTGACAGAAATGGAGATAATATAAATTGGGAAAAAGTTAGAAAGTCTCAAAATTAGACTCTTGGATGACATAGCATTTCTTTGCTCTGTCTTTGTGAACTGGGATTTAGGATTCTTGGTTTAGTGTATTATCATAGCATAATGAAAACAATATATACTTCTAAACAGAAATAACAATTTTCTTAGACCCAAAGTTTTTAAAACAAAATAAGGTGCAGCTCAATCATATTGCCCTTACAGAGCAAGAGTAAACTCAGTCTGGATCCTGAAAATAGATGAGATCTCTGGGCCATCGTGCTAGATAGAGTATGAATTGCTTTTGTATAAATTCAGTATCACAGACACACACATATATGAATACAAATGTGTGTAAATATATGTGTATACTTATGCCAGATTATATTTGTAGTGCTGAGCACTGCTGAACTGTGGCACAGTAACATTTTTGTAACTTTTTGTGCTTATTCAGCAATCATTTTAATACCCTTCATTTCAAGGGGTTTAAGTTTTGACATTTTCCTGACCACCAACTCTATCACACAAATCCAGGATGCCTCTAAATAATTCACTTTGCTCAGGTACACATATTGGGTTATCCCACACCAAGCAGAACTGTGCAATTACTGTGCAATTACAGTATCCAAGCTGGGGCAGGGGAATAATATGAAGAGAAGTGAGCAACCTGTTATGGACTGACTACACCCCCTCAGTCCCCATCTCCCTGCACCACTTGGGGATGGCAATAAATTACATTTCCCCAAGCCAAGTGTGTTTTAGCTGTGATGATAACTGGTGTGTGACCTCCCCATCTGCATCTTGACSCAGGATCTTTTCCTTCCTGCCCTGCCCTGTTAAGGAGGGCACTGAAGAAGCTGCTGGGTAGGCATCTGGCAGCCAGGCAAGGTGAACTCACTGCAATTGTCCATGCTGCCTGAAACAACACTAGTTTGGCCCTGTCTTATTCCTAATAAAAATTTTTATCACAAAAATTGTGATAAAAAAAAGTCCATTTGTGCAGATGAACTTCGTATTCCTGTCATATTTTGCACAATTTCATTATTTGTATCATTGACACTACGTATCACTGGTAAAAGAAAAACACTATTTCCCAAAGATGTCATTGYATTTAAAATTCTGAATCTRTRCCTTAAAGGTGAAGAGATTATCCCAGAGAAGTAAAAACTGTGGCCACATACAGTTCAMACACATTGATTACAGTCTGGCTGAGTACATAATTTATCATGGGTAGTCTCAAGTTGGACTTGTCTCAAGTCTCGAGTTGTGATTCGTACAAATGAACTCATTTGCTAAACAACTTTGGCTGGCAACAAGGTCATGATAGTAATAACTAACAGGCAAGCCCTGGATACTGAGCTAATAGGAATTAAAAATGAGTTTTTGCATTAATTTGTTTGCAAAATATAATAGTCTGCACTAGTATGAGCTGGTTATAAAACAACATAAGTACCCATGATTGCACATTTTCATTTGTAAACCTTCAAAACGAGGGGAGCAGACTTCAACAGTGATGTCARTGCTCTCTTGCCATCAGTCAGGAATTGCAGAAGCAGAGTGGTTTATGCTGGAAGGGATCTATGACAACCATCTGGTCCCACCTTCTGCTCCAGCCAGGGTTAACTGAAATTAGATCAGTTCAGGACCATGTCAAGGCAAGATCTGAATACCTCCAAGGAGGAAGACCCCATTAAAAAAWACTCCCTGTGGCAGCATTGACTGGCTGCATTGTGATTTTCTTCCCCTGCTCTGTGTTTTACTGGARTGCCACGTACTGAAATTTGTGATCATTGACTCTTGGGCTTTCCCTTTGCAATTTTGAGAAGAGTCCATCTGCCTTCCCTGCAATCATCCCTTGGATATCTGAAGGCAGTAATTAGACTATGAGCTTGTCCAGCCAGTACTGGGACATTGGGTTATTCCATCACAGATGCTGCACTTTGTGCTTGTTGAACCTGGCTGAACATTGTGACCTTTATTCCAGGCCATTTCTATGGCTCTTAATGACAAATGTCCCGTGGCTGCAAATTTCCCTCTGGACATTGGTTTCATCACTTCTACTTTTATTTGTCGTTTAATTGCTCATCTTGTTCATTCTTCTTCTGCAGTCTTAGTTGTACATATATATGTATTTTTTTTTCATAATTCTAAAGTTTGCTTTTTGCTTTAATTTCAGGTGTGGATTGAAAGGACTCCTGTAARCTGGATTTGGTTGGTTTGCTGCATGACTAAACTGATGAAATGGTATGATCCTCTTAGGAAAAGAGTGAGGATTAACCACTGTTACTACCAGATTATTAGCATCAAGTAGTTGTGAGTATCCACGGGTCATGTACAGCCTGCAGTGAAAAAATTATTCCCCTGAGAAAATAATGCAAAATTAAAAATAACAAATCAGGTTATTACTGAGTTYTATTGGCAAACAATTTATAAATAGAAAAATAATTAAATCAGTTGCATATTACTTGCTAAACCAGTTTTATGACACTATTTGTGAACTATATGATAAAATAGTACAACATGAATTTAGAATACTTTAAATGATATGAAGGGAAACATTCTATTAATGTGATAAAACCCAGAGAAAGATGACAACTTATAAAAGGAGTTTTTTATTACTATAGCCATTCTGGTGAAATATCAGRTTAGGTAATTTTTAAAGAAATAGGCCACTGACGGGGTAGAAATACAACAGATTCACAATTTAGATAATTTGTAATACAACAGATTCATAATTTAGGTAATTTATACTGCATCCACATCCACAGCTCCACAGGTTTTGTAGCTTTATTGAGCCACTTTTATTTCCTTGTTTGATCACTCTCCAGCACAGGGTGAAAAGACTGCTGACACAGAAAACAGGGAATGTTATGCTCAGATAATTCCTTTAATACCCAGACTATCATAAACATACTTAAAGCCTGACATTGCATTAATAACTAGTTATCTGTGGGAAAATGTTTTGTCGCTCCCACAAACATGAAAATCAGCTTTTTTTTTTTTTTTTTTTTTTTTTTTTTTTTTTTTTTTTTTTTTTTTTTTTTTTTTTTTTTTTTTTTTTTTTTTTTGTGGCAGCTCTTTTGAGATGTTTAAACTGCTTTTTCCTGTTTGCTGTGCAGACTTCCAGAGAGAGAGCAAGGAAACCAAAGCAAAAAGCCTGATGTGAAAGGTGCAGAAAGGTACTATGAGCTATTTTCACCACGACATCAAAAGGAGAAGTTTAAAAGGGGRATCATATGGAAGCAGTACTTCCCAGTAATCACAAAAGCATAGAATGGACTGTGTTGGAAGGGAACTTAAAGATCATCTAATTCTAACCTTTCTGCCATTGGCAGGGACACCTTCCACTAGGCCAGATTGTTCAGAGCCCCATCCAAATTCTTTCATGGGAAACAATTTTTTCCTAATCTCTAATTTGAACCCACTCTCTGTCAGTTTGAAGCCATTTCCCCTTGTCCTGTCACTCCAGACCCTTGTAAATAATTTCTCTCCATCTTTCCTGTGGGCTCCTTCAGGTACTGGAAGGCCACAATCAGGGCGCCCCAAAGCCTTCTCTTTTCCAGGCTGARCAATCCCAATTCTCTCAGCCTTTCCTCACAGGTCAGGTGCTCCATCSCTCTGATCACCAAAGAAGGTGGCTTTTCTTTGGAGGTTCACCAACAGGTCACTGTTCTTCCTGTGCTGGTGACCCCAGAACTGCATGCAGTAACCCCATATTAAAAAAAAAAAAAACCCACAAGGGTGAAAAAGATATGTGGTAGTGGTCATCGAACTGTGAATGTTTATATGAAATTAAAAATATGGACCTCATTTACTAAAGAAGTTATCTGAATTGTTAGTAATTAGAAATATTTAATTCTTTGTGTAATTCACTATTAAACATTGCTTGACTAAGTCATGTAATATACATCATTAATATGCCATTCTCTCTTCAAAGATCTTGTCATGCACATTTGACCCAGAAAGACACAATTCRGAGAGGAATCACTGCAGCAGATTA